AATTTGAATTTATTGAGAAATTTCATATAGACAAGATTATTTAATGAATCATATTTATACAGTATAAAGTCAGTCAGTCAGTCAGCTCCAACGTAGAACTTCGTACAGACTTCGTACATCAATTCAAGTTGCCATACGACATTAGCACACAGAGATGCAATTGTCAATTCAAAGTCCAAAGCAGACAGCATTAACCGCAAAGACGTTCTACGTTCTCTCCAGCAAGATTTAGAAGAAACATTGAGTATCAACATTTTGGAGAAAAGGGAATTTTGTCAAGATATTAAAGAAATGAGATCTTGGCAAGAGTGAAAACTACAAAAGTATCATTCTTGTCTCTCTATCTGGAAAAATCCTAAACAGAGTGTTGTTGAACCGAAGGCAAGATTCAGTTAACTCCGCAATTCCAGATCAGTAGACTTGATTCCGTAAGGAACAATCGTTTGAATGGAATTCAGCAATCTACATCAACTTTCTTGACTACGAGAAAGCATTGGACAGCGTGGACAAGATGACCCTATGGAAGCTCCGTCGACAATGTGGCGTACGTGAGAAGTTAGTCAGCAATAACAAACTCAGATGAGGATGGACAGTCTAGTAGTAGCCTCAACAGTATTAGGTCTTAACAGACACGAGGGAAAAATCAAGCTTCTCCAATACAACACAACATGCACCAGCTAAATCACACTTGACGCGAAAGCTTGGCCAGACACAGAAGAACAAACCAGATCCAAGTGGAGGAAGGAATCAGTTAGAAGCGCTGGTGGTGGACTGGACACACATTGTGGAAAGCACCCAACTGCGTCACAAGACCTAATTTAGGTCCCTCAAGACCAAAGGAAAAGAGGTAGATCAAGAAACACACGGCGACGATATTCGGAAACAGATATGATAAGAATTAGTAACGATTGAGATCACCAGTAAAGGAGAGCCGAGGATAGAGGTGGTTGGGGAATCCTGGTCAGTGGCCTAGTCTCTATTAGGAGTAACAAGCCTGAGTAAATTACATACAGTAAAAAAGGTTATTTACGATCATGGTGAAGTAGTGGAACTGAACATACTTATAGTACTTTAAACAAATATAACATGTGAGGAACGATTCCGGACCATTACTACTCACTTCACCATCATCCATGCATAACCATATTATACTTCTATAAGTATATAAACTTTAAAATAATTTTGATTTTTAGAAATATCATAGATTGTACACAGCTAATGAGAAAGAACCTTACGAACTAAAGATGAATTCATGTTGCTCTACTCAATTTTCTTTATTCTTGCACTCTCTTCCGCAAAATAACAAAAAAAAAGGAATTAAATGTATGAAATTTCTCATTAAAAGATTTGATGTGAACCAAATTCTACAATTACACAATTTGCATTACGGGGTTGTGAAGATTGTTCAGTTACACATTTTTGAAACCATGAATCGATCAATGTTAGACCACCATTAGAAACCTGGGAGCACTGGACAGCCGTTTCGTCCTGGTATGGGACTCCTCAACAGTGCGCATCCACGACTCATGCACCCAGCAGGGTTCGAACCCAGGACCTTCGGTATTGTGCGCGAACGCCCTAACCGATAGACCACTGAGCCGGTATTTAACGGTGTTAATGTCTAACTTGATCAAATTCACGGAGTTGCGCAACCTCATACACAGTCTTCGGTAGTTACTGTCTACACCCGAACAGGTTGAACTTCACTGGTCACGTCTTCCCACTAGAACTCGGAGAAGATTCCTCACGAAGCTAGTCGCTAGTGAGCACAGGTAATTTGCATTACGGGGTTGTGAAGATTGTTAAGTTACACATTTTTTAAACCATGGTTTCAAAAATTACACAATTCTAGCCTCTTTGCTCGTATACATTTGCATGCGTAAAAAAATTAATCAGCTGTGAATAATAATAGTAATAATCGTAATAATAATAAATAACTCATACTATTATGACTACTACATGTGAATAGAATATTCGATTAAAATGTATCGATACGTATTGACCATTGTAGTTGTTGGTGATGTTATATTGTTACGCATGCACGTAAACACGTCAATTGATATGCTTGAACTATTACGAGTTTACCTTAGTCAGTAAACGTGAGCGAGGGTCGATGATCCGGCGACACGACATGCTACTCTAATCCGAGTGTCCCAACCTCCATTGAGTGAAAGAAGACTAGATATGAAGTAGAATCTGTATTCTACAAGCATCCAGAAAGTACGAAGTCCGAGTCTAGAAGGGGATAAGGATCCAGGTCCAGGTTATAAAACGTTACAGAATAGGAAACAAGATCGAAGTCTGTGACAGTTAAGACGACCATAATATTGACCAATAGGAATCGACCAACAGAATTTACATTGACAAAACGATTCTTCATAGGATATTTGGTGAATATCCTATGACATATATATTAGCTAATTAACTACTAACTATTGAAACTTACTTTCTTGTTCTTCTTTAATTTTACGCGCTGATTGTGAAATAATTCGATCTAAACGTTTAGTTTCTTCTTTAGATAATCGATTGTAAAATTCACACCATGTTTCATCGGATTGACGACGAATATTCGATAAATGTTGAAAATCTCTATGAATATATTTACGCCATAAATCATCATTTAATCCAATAAATTGCTAAAGAAATGCGAAAGAAAGCAGAAAAAAATTATGAACATGAAACATTATTATTATGAAGTGAATCATGAACAAGATGATTGTGTGAAAATATTTAAAAATTACAAATACTATTTAAAAGGCTACTACTACTGTGGTGTGAGCTACTTATAAGTAGTATATGACGTGAGTGTCAACGTAATGTCTGGCAGCGGAAGATGGGGAGAGATCAAGAAAGGAAGAGTTAGAAAACAATGGAATTTGTATGAAACGCATGAATAGTGACAATGGATTGATGTTTGGCAACAGGAACAGTCCAGTTCGATAGGATGAACTGATCTTTTGCAAATGAACAATTTACGATATGGTTTTCCAATTTTACTGAGTAACTCTGTAATTTTCTTTAAATACAATTCGGTTGCCCCACCTGTGTTCTCGTTCACTACACTACTACTAATACTACTGCCTGAACATATGTCTGTTACTTGACAATGGTACGGTTGAAAAACAACTGTTCGAAAATAAAACTACTACCACATCAAAGTAAATTAATGGTGGATTAGTGTTTAAAGTACAAAACTTTGAATCAATACGCCTCAAGTTCAAATCCCACTACCTTACATCTAAGTGAGTTTATCCAATCCGATGGTGTACATAGACAAAAAAAACCTGTACTTGATAAGAAGTTAGTGATGCCAGAAAATATCAAATATTCACAACTGCATAAGAATATAGGAATAACATAATGACAATCGTCACTTTATCTATTCCTGATCAACATTATGATATACAAATAAAGAAGTTGTACTGGTCGGTATTCGATATAATTCCTAAACCTTGTATACCATAACTCATCTTGATACCCGTTAACGAGATATACCCCAACGGGCGTATAAGTCAGAAGACGAATATGAAACATTGATTACATTTACTATAGAACCACAAACAGATCACCAAAACAACAGGAACCCAGAAGGAAAACGATATACAAAAGCCGAAGAGCAATCGAACAAACGATCGAGTGAGTAGGATTAAAATGAGTCGGTCAGTCAGTCAGATGCAACGTAGAACTTTGTACATAAGTACATCAGTTCATGTTGCCATACCACATCACCACAGAGAAGTAATCGTCAATTCAAATCCAATAGTAGAAGAGGTAGTAAGGGAATTAGAAGTAATCGGAGAGGTTAGGGTTAAAAGATACTATTCAAGAAGTATGATTCAGTGAGAAAAGTTTAGAGAGTCGAAACTAGAGGGGTTGAATAATCCAGAAGATTAGGATTTGAGAGAACACAAAGAATAAATGCACCGGCGCCATTGCGAACGATTTTGAGCCATGTCATTCAAGGTCTCTAACCATCGATTATTATCATCTCGCGGACCCCAACCAGGTAGTCAACAATTACCGACATGGCTCAGTCCACTTGTCAATGACTTCATGGATTTATGCCATGTTTTCGTTTGGCCGCCCCTAACTTTCTTCCAACCTATTCCTACACTACAAAACAAAGCTCGAAGAGGCAGTCGGTGGTTAGGCATACGTAACACATGTCCCAACCACCTCAACTGATGAAGTTTCACCACTTCATCGATTGATCTGCCATTCTTACCTAGTACTCGTTTCCTAACGACAGCATTGCTCACTCGGTTGTCCCACGGTATACGAGCAATGCTTCGAAGACACCTATGATCGAAAACCAGTAACCTACGAATATCTTCTACTCTCACTGGCCATGTTTCACAACCATATAGGAGAACGGAGCGAACTGCTGCACAGTACACTCGTCCTTTGATTAGAGAACGAATATCACGCCTACGCCATAAAGATTAAAATGAATGAGTTATCGAATTATTATTCAAGAGGCTAACATTAAAGCGAGTAGAACGAATATATATGTGTGTAGACAGTAAAGCAATGCTTAAGACTAAATGCTCATACAAGTAAAACAATAATAAAAGCACAATGGTACAGATACATTTGTTGCTATACAAATGATTGTCCGTTAAATAAATTAATCAAAAAAAGGGGCTTGACCAAATTTACATGTGAACAAACTCAATATATACATGAGTTGCTACAGCGTAAATTTGTTTTTCAACACCGTTTTTAAGAGCTAGGTAGTATGGTGAACAATAACACAGGACAAGTGTTGACAAGAATCGATCGAATTTAATGTTAAGGAACAGAAAACTGCCTATCATACATGGAGAAATTAAATATAGCTTAGTTTCTATTCGAATTTTGTGCTGATGATGCTGTCCAGGCTATTTTAAAAGCGTTGAGATTAGAAACCATTCGGTGTTCAGAGAATCAAACCATTAAAATTACTCAAATGAACTGCAAATCTTATCCACCATCTATCTTAAACATGCGACTAAGCAGTTGAAACAAGAAGTGTATTTGTCCGCCTAAATTTCTATAATAAAAGTTTTAGAGGCACATTCAATTTTGTTGTCGCTCTATCGGCATATACTGCTTTCATTCTTGAGACTTGGATTCAATTCAAAATAGAACTTGAAACCAAAAATTAACTGTCTGAAATCCAGTACAACTGAGAGAGTTGCGTTAGATAAAGTGATTTCAGTCAGTTAGTCAGCTGCAACGTAAAACTTCGTACGTACATACATCAGTTCAAGTTCCTACAGCACACGATCGATCACACATAGATCGAATTGTTAATTCAAATCCCATAGTAGTAAAGGTAGTAGAAGTATTAGCGGTAATCAAAAAGATTATTGATAACATTCGAGAAGTATAATCCAGTGAAATAAATTTAAAAAGAGAAAAGAAATTTTCGTGAAGAACCCAGAAGATTATAATTTGAGAGGACATAAAGAATGCATGCATCTGCGCCATTTCAAACGATTTTAAGCCATTTCATTCAAGCTGTCTAACCATCGATTACTATCGTCTCGCGGATCCCAACCGCGTAGTCTACACCTACCAACATAGCTCAGTTTGGTTGTCATTGCCTTCATGGATTTGTGTCGTCTGCGAGACGATAGTAACCGTTGGTTAGCGACCTTGAATGACATGGTTCGAAATCGTTTGTAATGGCACAGGTGCATTCACTCTTTGTGTTTTCTCAAATTATAATCTTCTGAATTCATCATCTCTATCTTTTTCTTTCTAAAGTTATCGCACTGAATTATACTTATTGAATCATATCTTTGAACCCTAATCTTCTCCATTACCACTAATACTTCTACCACCTCTACCACTGTGGGATTTAAACTGACGATTGCGTCCCTGTGCTAATTTGGTATGGCAACGTGAAGTTACGTACGCACAGACGAAGTTCTACGTTCTAACTGACTGACTGACTGGATTTGTGCCATGTTCTGATTTGACCGACCCTAACTTACTTCCAGATCAGATAAACTAGTTTATCTTGTTAAAAACTAGTTATACAGTACCGTAGAGTGAATTCGATTAGAAATTAATTCACTATACTAATTCGTAAATTATAAAACATTAATCGGAAGTGTGGGATCAAGGCACCTTTTTTCGCTAAAGTAGGTAACAATTATTAAATAAAAGAAGGATTCTTCTTCAAGGAGAAATGTTCTTCTGCAATAAATTCTAGGTTAAATCAATATTTTGGTGGGGTTTCGTTGTCGGAACTGGATGGTTTAGTCATAGAGCTTTCAGTGTTCGTCTGAAAAACATTATCAATACATAATTCAAGTAGAATCAACTTGGGAAACGAAACTCCATTAAAACCATCCACTTAAGCTATCAATCTCTATCATCTATCTCTCAAAAGATATTTTATATACAAAAGTAATAGATCAATTGATCAGATAACAAAGAGAATAACTTACTGGATTATAACGTTCAATTCTAGTCAAGTCATCTACAGAGGCTCCACGTAAGGCTTTAGCCAATAATTCATAAGGAACTTGTCCGACATAATCAACACGACTTATATTACGTGCCAAAACATCAACACAAAGATCAATTAAACTGGGAGGATCAAAGAAACTAGGGAAATTATCCGATGAATTCGAATTATTATTATTAATATTATTGTTGAAAGGTAACGATGAACGGTTTTGTTTTGGTACCCAAAGGACTTTCTTTGATTTAAATTTCAAATCACCATTGTCGAAATCGTCTTCTTCTGAAACAAAAACAACAATCAAAGTATACTTTAATATATATATCGTAAAGTGTATACTGTCAATGTAAATATAACTCAATAATTAAATCAGTCAGTATAAGATACTATACAACATATATAGGTCAGTCTGAGTCGTTGCGATTCACATCACCATTCAAAAAGAACGAAATCAACAGAGTGGGAATTAAAAGAGTCTAAAACGATATCAGTGAAAATGGGAAACTAGAAAAAACGAGGTGTCAAACGTTTTGATTCGGAAGACCACAAAATATATCTGTACTACTGAGACAAATATTAATATATATAAATAGTTTTATCTCAATAGAAGGCCTAGATAAGCACTGACTAGATTGTTTATAATTGATTGATCATCACTGAGTAATGAGAGAAAGTTCTGCCCTAGGACGTAATACTATACCCACACCAGCGAGGCCACAGGAAGCAGCAGCAGGGCATCCAGATACACGAAGAGTAAATCGAGTTGGTTTTCTATTTGGTTAAGGTGAGATCCAATTAATCATTCTGCTCGGATTATGTATGCGCGTTTTCGAGACGCAGCATAAAATGATGGCACAGGATTCGAGAGTCCTAGCTGAGGAAACCTGTCGCCCTATTTGACACAGGGTTCGAACACTAAAAGCTCCAACATGCAATTTAGAACGGGGTTTCAGGAGACCAGGAATAACGTTTCGTAAACTTGAATCGATTGCATTAGCGGTGCGGGGTGCTAAACGAATGTGAGAAGGGTTAGTCGTGGAGATAATAGAGATGTTAACAGGTGTACGAAGGACTTGATTGTGACCTATTCAGTCTCGTGTGCTGTTACGCGTAAGAAGGTAGATGTCACTTTTCGACTGCGCACACCGTGAAAGGGTATTTCTTGAGGAATCCGTAAAAGAAGTTGGATTAGTGTTGGTCTTAGAGACCTGGGAAAGTGACCGCAGAGCCCAACGGACAACTGTTTGAGGTCGGTCACGCACAGCCTTTTTATGAGGTTTTTGATTTGCTCGCTCCGCTTCTTTTAAAAGGCCTTACCACCGGAGACAGAAATCCGTGAGGTAGGGTGAGGTGTGACGTTTTCGGGGTCGATCTTTTCAAACCCCTTCCTTCCGAAGTGAGAAGGCAGCATCTAGGTAGATGCTGGTTGTTCAAGGGCAATACCTTACTGCTGTCACACCCCTCTACAGTCAGCAGTACGACTTCGCCCTCAGACCTAGAGTTGCTGCTTTTAGTCCCACCGTTCTCCAGTCGTTTGCCTGTCATGGTAGAACCTACAAGATGACAACAAAAAGGTTATTTTATCTTAAACTAAAACTCTGAAATACCCATTACCCAACTTAAGCGAAAATTTACCTACCGACTAAGATCAGAACGCAACGGTAGTTATCTGAATAATATAGGCATATGCCTGGACAAATACGAAGAAACATCACCAAATGGAATACGTCTAACAAACCTTTGCGACAAAACATTTAAAAATATTGAACATTTTTATCAACAGACCAAAGGCCAAAAGATACCTGGGTCTACCCGGGTACAAACTCCAGTCATATGATAAACCTTATACTAGATGAGCATAAGTCAAAGCTAGTTACTACATGATATACACACTAGTCGATCAATGGACGCCAACTCAGATTACCAGAGAGTAACTTCATCATTAAGTGAAGTAAAAACTCTAACTATAGTTGTCTTAAACCAAAAACCAAATGCAAAATAATACAAAAGCCCCTATAACCCTCATCTGGTACATAGATAGACAAACTTGAACAAATGCTAAATAAAAATTGCTATCTGCAACATATGGATAACACTTTACTACAGGCTGAAAATGAAACAACCACACCAGATAAGTCGATCTCTAAGACATGGCAGCAGATAATAAATAATGACTTAAAAACTGAAATTAAACAGTGCAAACAACTTGGACTAAAAGTGCTAAATAATTCATTGGCGGAAGACAAACTGAACTACACCATAAGCTAGCAAGTTCATTAATAAGAAGGCAAGAAAAGGAAGCCTACACACTAAGTAAAATGGATGAACTAAACTCTCTCTTTGAAGAGAATGAACAACACCAAGTTACTTCAAGATATATTCGATTAGAGTTCGTTTTACAGACCTGGGAGCGCGACCACAGAGCCCAAGGGACAACTGACTGGGGCTGGTTGCGCACAGCGCAGTAAACTCGTCTTTTGTTTAGCAGACGGATATCTCGCCTATACCACAAGTAACGCAAAAGCCAGTAGAGACTTCTGTATCAGTGCTTAGATTTTGTCACATCAGGCCATTAACATTGATGAGATTACCATGGGGAGAATCACATCCTGAACACACTCGCATTGTTGCTTAAGGTGGTCAGAAGACTGCGTTTTGTCAGCGTCTTCACCAAATAAAACTGTCATCAGCATATTCTAAGCCAACAAGTAAACCTTCTAGTATAAGGTCAACTGAAAATTCATGATGGAAGTGTCGTCTCTAAGAGCTTGTAAATGACCAAGTTGAGTAAGAATGGAGAAAGTGAATAGCCCTGACGAAAACCACTCTAGGTAATCAGTCCCGATGGCAGTTCGCCATAAGTTATGACTCGACCAGTAGTGTTCGAGTAGAGAGCCTTACAAGGTTAATGTACCTATTTGATACACCTTTCAGTGTTCATACCAAGTTCTATGTAGTAGCTGACTAAATGACTGACATCAATGTACATTAACTGAAGTTTCACTTTTAATAAACTGCTTGGAAAGCATGAACTTGAAATACTGCTTACCTGTTTCATTTAACTGAGGAGTAGGTGAACGACAAACGACATCTGGACGATTAACTGGTTCAGAAAGTGACGAGATGATTTCCGCACTAAATGCTTCTGAGGGTCGCAGTGGAATATTCGAAGCAGTGACATCAAGCTTTTTGCTAACATTCTGTTGGGACTGATCATTTGAAGCAACGGTTGGATTACACTTTTTCTTCCGAGGAGTGCGAGTGCTTGCTTTAACATTCAATGAATCCATGAACGATAACCCACTAGAAGAATCAATAGAGTCCACAATTTCTGTAGACTTTCGTTTTTTGTTAGATGTTAGTTTAGTTTTACCATTTGGAGACTTATGGTTGACTTTGGGATATGAAGACGAATCATTAAATGTAGAACTGTTTGAAAAATAATCAGAGGTTGCATCTGTGTGAAGCAGTGAATTACTTGGAAGATTTGGAATCGCCTCATTTTCAGGTATGGGTGATATACGTTGCACACTTTTCTTGAAATTATCCTGAGGACTTTTAATAGAGTTGACCTTTGTGCAGTTGGTAACTGATATTGATTTGCCTTCACTTGAAGTTCGGCTGACACTTTTGGATATATCATTAACAGCAGAATTTTCGGAATTTGTGGGTACATTAAGATTTATAGATTCTTGTTTTATATGCTCACTAAGGAGATTTTTCCATTTTAATATGAGAGTACTAGCAGTTTTCCCAAGTTCACCTGGTTCGTTTTTTAGTTTACGAACAGCACGACCAACACCAGACTCTGATAATTCACTAAGAGTAAGTTTTACTTCGTTAAGTGTACTCAGTACGCGTAGTTTCTAAAATGGAAAGTAGCAAAGCCTTTATGTCATTTAGTTATTGAGGAACCAGTAGCTTAATACAAAACAGCAACACAAATTGTTTGATGAAGTTGAAACAGTATGTCTAACATTTCGATCAGTAGGATATAAGAATGAAATAAATCGTGTGGTGAAAAAAGTCTAGGATAGATATGAATAAGTGTAATCCAAACGATAAGTTGGGTACCTGAAATCGTAGGTTGTCTTTAGTGCTATAATATGAGTGTAATTTACTTAATAATGGATTATTTAGGGTTCTACTTGTATATGAATAATTGTCTATGAAGTATTGGTAGAATATAATAGGATTACTGTCAACTATTGAAGTACGGAATCAAGTGCATGGACATTAGTTTGGTAGTGAATTATATTTCCATCACTGCTAATTCGTTACTGATAGGTTGATATGAAACGCACTAGCAAACAAGTCAGCTCTAATTCAATATCCATTAGTCTCCAAACAAATCTTCCGGGATAAAAGTATAATTTAACACTACATGACAAAATAGGAGGAAAAAACCCACCAAATCTGGACATATCAAAACAAGGCTACAACACAAGGAAGAATATATAATGAGACGATAATATTTAGAGATTGTGATAACCCTTGAATTGTGTTACTTGGAAATTTATATGAAGTTTGATCATCATAACGATGCGACCAGGAAGACGACAAAACTCTAAATAACCGTAATGACGAAAATACCTTCATAGATTATTATCGTGCCCTGATTTAATCAACGTTGACTTCCTACTTATTTACTCTTATTTTAGCTAACGTTGCGATACCGGGCAGACTGTGACAATATGTAGAATATGACTCAACCAAATAACAAATACCAAATACTGCAAACAAGGAAGAAAATAAATCCCAAAAGAAACCCAAAGATGTTCTGCTAAAAGTCGCATGTAGACGGAAAGATCTAAATCCAAATTCCCACTTAGAAATTTGGTTGAATGTTCATTCAGAGACAGTGTCATTCCACATTGATGGTTAGTCTTCGAGTGAAATGGAAGAGATTTATGTGGAGCAAATCACAAACCCATTAAAGCACTAACCGAGTTTGTATCAACCGACTTGTCTCCAAGGGTTTCACCGAACTTAACCAAAGCCGATACCACGCTAGCACTCATTATCAGCTGATTCGATATTTCGAAATACCCACGTTTCGAACCTCGAACTTAAACATTTTGTTTGGCAGATTCAGAAGATTATTCGTTCCTAGAGGCAGTAGAGCATTCTTGAGTATGTGAATACTTAAACTTCGATATATTTCTTTAAAATTTCGCCTGATGATAGTAAATATGACCTCGGATTAATACCTAAAGTAAACCCATTCAGATCTTTGATTTGTGTATTGGGGATAGAAGGCTTAAGAACTTTGCTAGTACTTTTCTGTTAAACTTCTGAGAGTCTCTAATATTCTTCTAAATGAGTCAAGGGAAACCGCTAACCACTTCTGGTATCATGTTACAGTTATTGCTGAAAACCTGTATTCCGTGAATATTTTGTTCGTGCTTGGTCTTTGTACGCACCTTCTATGCCCTGTGAGTTTTTACGACCTACCAGGAATACAAATAGAGGATACTTCATGTCCGAAACCATTTTTCAGGATACCATAAATTAAGATCAGACCACCTCTGAACCTACGGTAGGACAAAGCAGAGTCTTACAATTTTATGCCCCTCTTTATAAGACAAGCCTCGGAATTACAAAACTGTACGGATAGCTGCAATCTGTACTCTTTTCAGCATTTCCGGGTTATCTTCTTAACAGGGGCTTGCAGACTGAAAACAAACTTCAAGTTTAGGCTTCACTAAGGTTGCAGATACAGCACTGAAAAGATGGTATTCCACTTGATAAATATCTGTCTCAAAGCCCGGAGAGTTCTGAACTCCTTATCTGAAACTCGTTAAAACACTTGATTAAGCTGTTAGACACCAGCCATGTTTTGGGCAAGCAAACCAAAGCGTGCACCTGTGTCTGCATCCCCACTTATTTCTGGCTAAATGCTGATGTCATCATACCAGTGTTGTAAAGGACTCAAGCATACTTAGAAGTTCATTTACATTCATAATAAGTATAAATGTAAAACAGTGCCTTAAGATACGCCCCTAAGTATTGGCGTCTAGAAGGAGCACTTAGAACTTCATCTTGCTGTTTTAGAACTATTGAGAAACCACCATAAATGACATCCACTCGTTTCCATTATCTAACGACCATGTCCATCTCATTGTCTCGTTATAAAGAGGATTTTTGTGAATGGTAAACATATTTTTGAATCCATGTTGCGGACTTTTTAACAAGTTATTTGTTTCCACTTTTTGTATTTCGATTACTAAACTGATGAGGCTAAGAAATCCGAAATTTGACTAAAATTGTCTTGGTGTAGCAGGGGGCACATATACTTTGTTTACTTGACAGTTGCACTGTACGAATGTGAGAGTGACTTGGTCCACTACTCTGGACTATGGTCGTGTCCCGATGCAGCTTGGTATCCATCAACATCTTCATTAGTTCAACTGCTGCTCTGGTAATAAGTCAAGTCTCGAAGAGCTGGCGTTATCCAATCCTCGTCTCCATTTGTTATAATTCTCCTATGGTAAACCCAGCTATCCCTATTGCTTAGTATTCTCGTATACCGATCCACTCGACAAGTCCTCAAATCAAAACACAGTTGAGCAGGAAAAGATTATATTCCAAATAGCAAGGTTGAATAGAAGCAAGAAGCCGGAGAGAAGTAGGAACAATGTTAGTATCTTTACAGTTTCTACATGAGAAGCTTCTGGAATGTACTCCAACTATCGACTAGTGCTGATTGGATAGGAATTAGCCAATCAGCGCGCAGCTAACGCAGTCATACTTCAGTCATACTTCTATGTCCGGCTAACATTGTTCTGTGAATTCAAATGACAATTGCATCCTTCTAGTCCGTAAATAACACACCTCAGTGAAGCACCAAACTGAACGATGTGGTCAGCAGGGTTACACTATTTTGTGCAGCTATTTCCGATTTTCTTAGTCCTGAAACAGTCCGCGTTGATTCTTGATTTCTCCTGACCTTCCCCCTATCATTTGAAGTTCACTCCCTTCAATAACTAAGTTGGGAGTTCTGGGGCGATAGACGTTGATCATTGCCGATGTTCCCATAGCTATACTCGGTATCGATTTCCTACAGCACTATGAATTGCTAGTCGATTCACGTAGGCTGCAGCTAATCGACACTTCGTCGAACAGCAAATTCGTGGGCTTTGGAGCTCAAACAAACACGGTCCGTATCACAGGTGTACTTCATTCGCTTGATGATATATTACACGCTTTATTAGAAAATTTCCCCCAGCTATCTAAGCCACACGAGGAGATTACGTCGGTGACTAGCCATGTGGTACACTACATTGTGACCCGCGGACCACCAGTCACGGCAAAACCTCACCGACTGGCACTGGACAAATCAGCTTTCGCCAAACGTGAGTCTGACCTTGCGCTCGCGACTGGTATTATTCGTCCTTCTCACAGTTCTTAGGCCTCAACACTCCACATGGTTCACAAAAATGATGGGATTGGTTGGCGATCATAGGGCGACTACCGAGCATTAAATGTAGCTGCACGTTTCAATAGCTACCCCATCCCCCAAATACACGACATCATAGCATCACTCAAGGGCACAACTACTTATTTTAAGATTGATCTGGTACGAGCATATCATCAGATTCCAGTCGTTCTTGAAGATATCAAGTAAAATGTTATCACGACTCCTTTCGGTCTGTTTGAGTTCCTACGAATGCCATTTGGATTACGGAATGCTGCTCAAACTTTCCAAAGCTTTATCGATAGCATAGTACGAGACTGCTTTTTGACGTCTATATTGATAACCTGGTAATCGCATCATCAAACCCAGATGAGCATTATCAGAGCCTTACACTCTTATTCCAAAGCCTTTCGGATAGTGGAATAGTAGTTAACCCAGACAAGTGTCATTTTGGAAAGCCGAAAATAAGGTTCTTGACTCGCATCATGAAGCAAGAGGGTAGTTTACCTTGTGAAGACAGAGTGCTTGCAGTCATGGAGTACACCGTACAGCCTCACCCAAGGAAGTGAAGGCCTTTCTCGGTTTGCTTAACTTTTGCCAACGTTACATTTCTCACGCGGCTGAACATTTACTACCATTAACCGACCTAATCCAAGCAAATTAGAATTGAACGATGTCGCGCGTACTGCATTTTCACAGATCAAAAAGACCCACAAGGTTCAATGACATGGCCTCGTCGAGATAGTTAGCATTAGTTGTCTCAAGCCAGCTCACGTCAATGACAGTGCCCTACTTGCTAATCCGAAACCCAGTGCTAGACCTATCAAACCTACTAGTGGGATCCTTAAAGCTACTTCGGATACCACGGTAGATGCATCAGAGACCTCATTCTCACGTCCCAGTCAACAGCATGCATCATCTGCACTATCTACGAATGAAACTCCAGTCTCACGTCCAGATCAGCAGCTGTACATTTACTTCAGATCGGTCATTAACACTTCATCGTATTCGCTGTGCCCGGATATGCTACAAGGTGACCGTGGTGAGTCAGGTATGGTAAGAAGCCGTTAGAGAGGCAGTCGGAATTATGGCAATCCTACTGCGTGATTCCTGGTAAAGAGGATTTTTTAGTAGGGCAACTTAAAGTGGTACAGTATGGTATTACAAAAAAACAATATGTCGCGATCACTCGATCCCCAAAAAATTTACGCCTTTTTTTCAGACAGACTCTAAACCTTAACATTCTAAACTATATTTATGATGACCAGAACCTATTTATTCATAGTACATAGTAGATGTTTGAGTCGAAAGACTATGAACACGTCTTTAAACTAATTACGTTCGGGTCTTAAGCATTACCCCAGATCTCGTCTCGGAAAAGAGAAGACGGAATAGTCCATATGAAATAAATGTATTTGCTGGCGACTTCTTGGTATCGAAAGAAATGGGCGAAGGTACAGAGTAGCAAAAGCAAGATGGTGACCGACAAGTAGGTCAGCGCAGTACAAAACGTACAAAACGCAAACATAATGTTCAGTAAAACCTTCACTGGTACGACTGGTTATAATAATGAATGTTGCCGTTTCATCAATCGCGTTTTTCTCCGTAAAAGTGAAATCACTAGAAGATAAGGAAGGTCTTTGTATTTACTTGGCGTAAAGTTAGTTTTAAACATTGTGTATAGTTGTGTGCAAAAATCCATCCACTCACACTTACACACTTTTCTAAAGTAACTTGTTCCTTTACTCTTAAATGTGAAGTTATTCCTCTTGATTACTTTCAGCTGTACATTACACTCATATTCTAACGCTAAACTTGACGTTTACTATTTATTTTTTATCAAAGTTTTTCTTTTCTTACATTTCTACTGAATTACATGATTTTCGTGAACTATATCTAAGTCGTTTTACTTTGCATCTTGATTGTGGCAGACACCATACTGATTGCTTTCTTTTTGTTTAAGTTGCTTAAACTGACTGGATTTGTTCACTTTTCGAACGTGTATTGTAGCATAGTTCCAGGACGAGGAATACTACGGATTGTTAATAAATTAGATATTCCCTTCCGGGCAACCCGAATGTGATCTATCCACCCAGGGTAGGGTAATAATCCCTTTTTGATGGAAACATTTATTCACTGAGACCTAACTGACCATTCAAATATGCTGAATAACTATTCCTCCAGTAACAGGGTGGTAAAATTTGTTCGGAAACGCTTCTAACCCTACCATTTTTTTTCGAATTTTGACTATGCGAGAGCACCAGCGCCTGCACTAACCTCCACAGTTTTTCTCATCCTAAACTGCTTCAGTTTGGACGCTATGCTTGTCATTCATTAATAACATGCAGACTATTTTAAGTCAAATTTTTCACGCCACGTTTTATGCTTATGTCTTAACTGGAATCTATAAATTCCTCCTGAACAAAACATGCTTTCACGGTTAAAACGAGCCTAAAATATCAGTTTAGATATTTAAACATAGGTACTTTTACAGTTACATATCTCTAGTGTTTTCAATTCAGAAAGTGCTTAGTTTGGTGGTTATTGTCTTCCAGAAATGGTCCAACACTTTTTAGTGGTGAGAGATACCAGATTGTCTATGAT